GTTTCGACGGTTTTTGCCTTGAAAGAGATGACTAATAATGAGTTGAATTATAATTTAATGACATACATAATCATTCCTTTATAAAATTATTTTTTCATTAGAAGTGTTTATTCAGCTTTTCTAATTTAATTATTTGTCTGTGGGAGCTGAGATAAATCTACCGTTATTCCAAGATTTATTAGATAATTAGTTTACTTTGTTTTAGGTCCATCGACGTCGAAGAGCTGCGTAAACGTTAAGAATGGTCTGATTAATTAAAGAAATGATTGTTCACACTGACTCGTCGCTGTTACTTTTAAATATGAAAAATGTCATCAGGGTTACTCGTTTCACTCTTATTTCTCGTTCTGCTCGTTTACACTGTTAAGCACGCCCGCAAGTGTTGCATGAACGAGACATTAATTACATTAGAATGAAACGCGCTTGCTTGCCTAGGTACTTAGCCTAGCAAGAATCCTCTAGCGAGTAAACGAGCTAACGGAGCATGGCCACGGAGTTGAATTCTCCTAACCTACGCGATTGTCAGTAACATTACGTAGAAAGAGACGCGGCACATTATTCACGGGTGAAGATTTTCTCGTTTAGCGAACAGAATTCTTGAACGCAAAGTTGCATGACAAACGAATAATAATAATACAATAAATTAACTACTTGCTTATTACTACAATAAATCTCGCTTCAAAACTTATACGTGAGACATTTTCGATATTGTGTGCAAATTAATTTTGTGAAAGTGAACGTTTGTATTAAATTCGTTATGAATTTTGGCAAATGGACGTTTCCAATATTGCTTCTTAGGTCTAATATGAGCGAAATACTGATGTCTAAATAAATTTTTATATCACAGTTTATAGTATAATCTCGGATTCTTGACATAGACACGTATGTGTAATTAAGAGTCTCGAGACTTTAAAGGATTTATAAACTGTTGGACGGTTTGTTGATGGGATCGTGCAATGATACAATAAGAAAATCAATTCCCTTGTAGCTGTTTTTATTTACTCTTTGAGTTGATACGATTTTCTTAAAATTAGGAGGAATCGAATTTCATTCACGATTATCCTGAGTACTTTATGCGTCTCCTCTTCAGTTCTTGTGAATCGTTTATATGTGATGCAATATACACAAAACTACAACAAAATGTATCTTTGGTAAATTTAAAATAATTTGAGAATGGAAGGATTAAATAGTTTAAAAACTTGAGAGTTAACATAAACGTCCACAGTGAATAAACGAGTCAAAGAATTATTAACATTTCAAACAGATACTAACGCCTTAAATACAGTCGAAACAATTACCAACCTTAATAACAAAACCATTCCAACTATTCCTCTAACAAAACCAGCTCAACTCCCATGCTCGCTGAACATTCTGAAACATTATCTCGTAAATCGAGTTAGCAGTCCGCAGTCTCCAGAATTTTAAACTTTCTATTGCCCGTCTGCGGTAGTTCGCTACCCGTAAAATCTGCCCCTAAAAACGTCAAGGAATCGTTTGGTTACGAATAGACGTGCGAATGACTCACTTCGGGTTACGGTGGACCGTTTTCTTGCGGCCTCGTTCACCGTGTTACGCCTCGACCCGCACGACGGTAAAATATTCTCTTTTGTGCCATTAAATCCTTTATTACGTTTCGCTTAGCTTCTCTCTCGCGAGTGCCGCCGTTACGTCGATGAAGGGGATAGAAAGAGAAAGAGGGAGATAAAAAAGGAAGCGGGGCATTACCGGATTGTATCAAAGGAGGACCCTCGGAGGATCCTTCTTCGTGCAGACGGGTTGGATAACGCACCGAGCGCGGTCGGAAATGCGAATTCTCTTTACTCCTCCATTGTCCACCGTGGCTCCGATGGGGGTGTATTTGCTCTTCGGCGAATGTAAACTCACCGGCGCTTTTCATACGAGCGCGCGGCTCGCAGCGCTAACCCAATTTTACCAGGACGTCGACGACGAAGCCAGTCGGGTGGGCTTTCTCGGTCTACATGCGCGCAGAGGGGACCCGGTTGTTTGCCTTCCTACATGGCTCGACGGCGGGGTCCGCCTTTTATGTAAAATATTGGCAAAGATTGGAAATACCTGTTCGTTGAATGGACGCTTGTCGACGTAGTCGATAGTTAAAATAATATCGTCTCTGTCGGGTGAGTCGAGCCGGGGAAACGGACAAATATTTTCTATTGACTCCGCCCCTCTATTGGGTCGGGAACAATGTATTTTAGGCGAGGACTGCTCGAGAAATCGAAACGATGCCTGTTGTGATTCGGGATTTCGAGGGAGGATAGTGTTCTTACGATTTGAACATGTTTTTTCTTCTCGTGTAATCTAACATAAGGCGGGGGGTGTTGTTAATGGTGTAACCGTCGAAGGGGTGTTTTTTTTTTGTTCGAAATAAGGTTTTTGTGAGGAGATCGTTATTATTGAGTGCAATTGCTTCTGGTTTTAAAATGTTATTTACTTTTCGTTTATTCGTAAGGTATTCAGTGTTTATCTCTCGTTAAGCGGATGGTCTGGGAGGGACGCGGCAGACGGATGCAGGGTCATTTTGACCCATAGTGGAATTTACATTGTGCGCAGGTGTGAAGAGGGAATTATGCATAAAATTTTATGTACATCTTCAGGTTCATATATTACATTTACATATAACTGCAAAGAATATTGCTATAGCTAAAGATGGGTCAAAATGACCCTATATTCATTTTACGAGGGTTAGAAATATTATTCTCTATAAATTGTGGGAAGCTGGTGTAATCAAAAACAATTCTTAATGTAACTGTTGACAAAACGAAGTACATCACTTGAGTTACTGTAAAAAAACAATCGTCTATTACTCTGACAGGAAAGTAGTTTATAGGTTCATATTAATTAGACACTTACCTAATTTGGAAATATTGTATGTACACCGTGTAACCTTTTAAAATAATGTAACTCGATACTCGATACCTCATACTGGATAACTCAATACTGGTTAAGTCAGTACTCAATAACTCAATACACGAATACTCAATACCTAATAACTCAATAAACCAGTAACTCAAGTTATTGTGTTGTATGCACCTGACCTATTTTTACACGAATAATAAGTGCCGCTTTTGTTGTACCACGAGTTACCTACGAGACACCATTCCGAAAGTAATGCATAACATACGAAGGTGTACGTTCTTGAACGAGGTTCGAAGAACGCCTCCGCAATACGATAGTCTGCCAAGGTGGAGCCATTGTATAGTCATGAAATCTGTGATTCGCTATTCGAAACACGTACACGCTCAAGCGGGAAACGTCGCCGGTCAGGAATGAAGTTGTCTAGACCGAAAAGACCGAGGCGTAGAAGTAGAGCGAAAGGTACACACAGGTCTAGTAACGAAGTTTTCAAAGACAACATCGGAGTCTGATATCTAACGAGTTCATTCCACTTCGATGCCACGGTAAAAACTGCAAACGGTGGATCTCTATTCGCTACCGTTATCCTCGACGATCCGTCCATGTATCTTCGTCGAACACTCTCTTGGATTCCCTTTATCGACTAGCCTACAAAACGTTCGAGAACCCCTCTCGTGCATTACTCGACCAGGAGCCGTGGATCTTTATTTCATAAAGAATTATCGAGAAGTACGAATTTCGTGAGATCTGTGAAATAATGGAATTACTTTTGTGTCGTAGCTATGATAGGCAACTGTTGTGTTTGGAGAGTGGAATGCTTTCATGGAACTTTATTAATTTTTATGCGAAAGTATGTACTTTTAATTATCTTCGTTATACGAGTACGATTTTTAATATGTTTCTATTTATGACACTAGAATTTGTACTTAATGTGGACTGAAAATATCTGTAAACTATGCCAACTCTAAATTGGTGTTCATAGAATATCTTTCTTTCAGACAATCTAAAAAGTACTTAGAAAAATACAAAGTGTGTCGGAGTTAAAAATAATTAATCGACTATATTCTGTCGATAATATATGAATTCCGTCTTGAATATCGTTCGGGAAGATTTAATGAATGTAAACTACGTGACTAGTTCATCAATATGGAATAATAAGTTAGTTAGTAATTACAGTGAACGATCATTTTATTAGAGCCATAGTACGAAAAATGTGTTTTGCGTTTCTATTATGTTGTATATATAGGGTTATCCTATGGGATGTTAAATTTGAATAAAATGAGAAGTACTATTTAGAATTTGTTACTGCTTTTAATTTTGATTATTAATATGTTCGATGGCAATTAGAGATGAAATATAATATTATTGAAATGACCACCGCGAATACGTTTGCAAGTATCGATTCTGGAGTCATAATTTTCAATTACATTTGTACAAATAAGTGCGTTTATCTCTGCAAGTTCGGCACAATTATTTGATTTCAATTTATCAAGTGTTTTTACATTAAGTGTTGACCGAAGAAATCAGGAACATTGCGAAATGGAGTTTTTATAGAACGCTGATTTTCGTAATAGGATTGAATAATTTAAATTGTTCTGTTGTGTATGTACGTATCCATAGTTATATTTGCCCAACATTCAACCTATCAAATAAAAGAAAAGATAAGAAATGTCAAGGGTTGGCAAAATATCAAATCTCAAAAACCTTAAAGGTACTATTGGATAACCCTTATTAAATATTTCTAAAATTAATCAAATTACTCTCTTATCATAAAAATCACACATAGATCATCTATAAATACCTTCAAAAAGATTAATTTAAGATATTTCAATAGTTTCATCTCATGAAAACACTATTAATACCAAAATTTTCCAGTGATACAATTATGGAAAAAGGCGCACAATTTCCTTCCAACTGTCTATTTTTAAAACATTTATAAATAATAGTCGGTCGAGATTTCTGGATCTCTTCCACAACTGTATCACTTAAAAACGATAAAATTAACTAAAACAAATATTACTAAACACTTCCATCTTTTATTAAAAATAATTCCAAATGAACAAATCATAGTGCAATAAAATTTCTTCGTAAACGTGTATCTATCGTAGCTTAAAGGTCTGCCCAAATCATTAGATCACGACTACGTATGCCAGTGTGTCCGCGCATGCAACAGGAACATCCAGAAAGCACGTAACTGAATCTCGTGGTATTCTTACCTCCGATTCCGGGGACTGAATGATCAACGAGGTCCTCGGTGGTTTTTCCGGCGGGACTTTCTTCAATGTGCCGGTGAAGCTCACGGAAGCGCCGCCGGTTGACGCGGAAACGCCATCGTGACCGTCGATCTGACATTGAAGCCGATGGAACTGCGTGAACGAAGTACGGGACGTGTCGGCACGCTCGAATTGGGGTAGACACGGCAACGGCATCTGTGACATGTTCGGTATCTGAATAGAATTCGGGTCGCCGGTATCGTGTTGAAGCCTGGGCGAGAGTTTCTCGCGGACAGATGATTGGCAGGATTGATGATTAGAGTTCTGTGAATAGGACGCGGTCAATAATGTTTGATGATGGCCGTGGGATTGGTGCTGGCTTTGCGTCGCGCCGGTTTTATCGGGCTGTTCCTGGTGGTTCTGGATGGAGTTCGATAGAACGGAATGAATCTCGTTGCCGATCGAATATTGTTGAAAATCCGTGGATCTTTGCAATTTGTCGCACAATTGGTTCTGCGCGTGTAGACTCTGCAGACGGGCTTGCAGATCGCTCTGTTGGTGTTGAAACTGCGCCACCTTGTCGAGAATCTGATTCTGATTCTGTAGACAATGCAGCTTCGCCTGTAGATCGCTTTGCTCTCGTTCGAACTGGTTGAGCTTTTCGGATATTAGGTCCAGACTCCGTTGGTTTTGCATCTGTTGCTGCTGCGCCTGCACGAAATCTGGTTTATCGTTCTGGGTGTCGAGTTGGGCCTGAAGATTCTCGGTTTGGCTCTTGCTGTGCGTCAACAGATTGCTCGAGGCGTTATAACTCTTGCGGTGGCCGTGTATTATGTGATCCACCTGATCGATCGGCTTGTTTAGGTTCGCGTCGCCGAAGTCTGTCACCACGGTCAGCACAGTTTTTGTGTCTAACTTAGCCTCGCTGAGGGCTGGATACTGGTGACATATGTTTGGGCTAGCTCTTTGCGAAGGAACCGTGCTCACGACTGGTATAAGGTTAGCTACCGAGCCGCTGATAGGCTGATCGTCGAATTCTTTTCTGGACAGTTCCATGTGTTTTGTTAGATCCGCGCTAACGTGACGTAGATGACGACGTTGCTCCATAATGGTGCTTTGACTGATATTGGGAAGCGGTTGGAAGGCTGATTGCGTCATTCTCGTTTCTTTGCGATCCTCCACCGGGTGTAAGGGTCTCAGGTCTCGTCTTTCCTCCGATTGTGTGCGGGAACGCGGACTGGTGGACATCAATTGATTCTGAATCATATTCTTCTCGAGTTCTTGCCGCTGCCTCTGCTCTGCCCATATCGCGAGATCCTGTCTGGTCTTCTCGAAATTCTGATTCACGAACGACGGACTCTTCTGGCCGGCACGGTCCACCGATGCTTCGCGGATCGGCACGAACGGCATCGGTGACCTTCTCACGTCCTCCATCCTCTTCCCCTCTATAGTCATAGGCGACCGTCTGTGCTCGTCGAAGTAATCGGATCGTCTGTTTTCTTGCGGGATCGCTGCCACTCTTTGATTAGGGCTCTCTTCCGATTCTCCTGTCTCGCATCAAAAGCCATCGGTGATACTCTCAGGCTCGTATCCAATCGCCTTTGATCAGGCGGGTACACTTGACTGGCTTCGACTACTCGTTTCGGATCGACCATAGTCCCGGTCTTCCTTCCCGGCATTAATATTTCCTGGGCCGTGTCGCCGGGGAACGTGAAAGTAATTGTGTCGTTACGCCGCTGGAAGCTGGACGTCACGTCCACGGAGATAGATTTTCTATGCTCTGGCCTGCCGACGTACAGACCGCAGTCCGGTGGCACAGGATCGCACATTTTTTCCCGTCCTGGCGGATCCCCGTTCGCGTCCACGTACAAACCATCCTGCCTTGTTCTCGGTGTCTGATTAATGGCGCTCAGGTACCTCCTGTCTTGACCGTCCGTGATAATCTGTGGGCCTTGGACAATAATCGCACCGTCGCTGCGATGTATCTGTTCCTGCGTAGGATTCTGACCGTGATCGTACTTGGACTTCTGGAGTCCCGGTACGTCGACGCTTGCCGACTTCCTGTGGCCAATATCGTGGGTGATCTTCGAATTGCCTCGCGGCGGGACCATGGGTTTCGGTCCACGTGGTGGCCGCTCGGTTGTCGCGATCGCGATCCCATGGGCCACATTCTGGGCGATCGGTTGAATTATCGGCTGTGTTTGATACTGGCCCAACTCTTGCGAGAATCTCTGAGGATTAGGCGACTGTTGACCAAACTGCTGACCAGGATATATTCCTGCATGGGGTCCGTATGGAACCGCGTTCATAACCGTTTGGGGATACTGGCTGTACGAGTACTGAGGCGGTGTGCCAAACTGAGCGTAGCTTGACGGCTGCGGTACTACAACCCCGGAATAATATGGTGGCTGGGGGCTAGCCGACTGTGAAGGTATCTGTGATCCGTGTTGAACAGTTACGTATTGTCCTTGGCCAGTGAACACCGGATTCGTTGCGCCTCCTTGGTACAGGGTCGGATCTCTGTAAGTAACATCTCTGGTCACGTAGCCGGCCCTCTCGGCGTACTGGGCTTGCTGAGAGTACATCTGTGGCCTGACTTCGAATTGGTTTCGTATCTGGGTGTACTGGGTCTGATCGTAGTCGCGTATGAATTGAGGATGGGCTTGAACAGGTAAAGTTTGAGTGCTAGTTTGAGACACGTGCTGCGTTCTCTCGATCATTGGTTTCTCTTGTGTATATTGTTGCGGAGGTAGCTGTCCGGTTGGAGGATGTCTGTCTTCGGGGACACCAACTACGGACTGCTTTCTTCCAGTCGGGTACTGGTTAGACTGTTGGTTCTGCTGCTGCTCGTGACTCTGCCCGACGGCAACCGGATTCTGTTTCGATTTATCTTGCGCGAATCTGTCGTACTCAATGGTTCGATTCTCGAAGCCGTTCGACAAATCTTGCTTGGCGTTATCGGCCGGCGGCTCGGCTCGCCCATTCTGACACGCTGTCTGTTGATTCTCCATCGTCTGCCCGGACTGATTCTGTTCCTGGCTATCGTTCACGCCACCCGAACCGGACTGAGACATGTTGGCGGCCCCCACCGACGGTCGTCCGCCGATGTAGCCGAGTATTCGCCCCAATCCGCACACCGTGACGACTTATCGGGCAACTCTTCGTCGGAAATCTGGGGTCCTCTCGCTCGAGACGCAATCACCTTGGGATCGCGTTTTTACGCCTCGTAGATTCAGCTGGGTCGACTCGAGGCATGTAAACGTCGATATTGGTGTCGTTTCACCTACGTCGATCGCTGTTCTGTAATTTTTGTCGAACCACCTTCTTTCTGTATATCTCTGCGACGATGTATATATTTTTGAACGATCTTCGTAAATTTCGATTAAACTTCGTTAACGTTCTCGATACAAATAATTGATTTGTTCATCAATTCCTTTTCTGTGTGTTATTTGTATAGACACTAGTGATAGTATTTTACATGGTATATGATTAAATTCTTTTTCTGAAATTTTTTTGTTCTATTAACTTGGTATCATTAAAACGGTTTATGTTCACTGAATAATTCCACGGTAGACTTTCAAACGTTTGTAGGAGTACGAATTCATCGAGTGCGGTCGTAGCATTTCTCTCTTCCAGTTATAAGTCGGAATATATTCTTGAAGAATGTAACTTTTTTATGTGCCTTTTTTTTTCTACCTTTTCTATATTTCTTATAAATTTACATCGGAAAGCAAGTATTTTTATACTTGTGACTTTCGCAGTAATATTGTTGTTGGAACATGGTTTATTCGCTAAGAGAGAACATTTCAAATGGGATGTGTCCTCTTTTTCCTCCTTTTATCGTGCTGTTCGTAAATACTCGGTCAAGCAACTTGTCCTGGCGCAGGAATTCGTTCGTGTTCCGGTTCCTTGTAGTGGAATTCCTTTTGGGAAACGCAATTTAAGAAGTCCGTCCGCTGTTGCCAGACTCGTTTGATCCTCTCTTAACGTATTGGAGCTTTTACTTTATTGAGAATATGACGTCTTTAGAATGAACTCCTCTCGATATGAAAACTTTAATTGATTATCATATTGACTCGAAAGAACACGGTTAGTTGGTGTAAACTCCTCGAAACGCTAAAAAATTTGTTAATTCTTCTTTGATTCTGTAGTTTGTGCTTTAAACATTTTTTATTACGCTGGGCAATTTTTGTTATAGCTTTTCACAATTTTAAGTTACGTGATTCGTTGATTTTATTGAGGATGCTTCAATTGACTGTTTTGAATTGAAAGACAACATTTGATTATCTTTTGAGCTCCCTTTAGTCTTTCACTCACATTTATTCATGTTACGGATGTATTTTGATATACACTTTCACATAATCTTTTGCTGTAACGTTGGTGTAACTGTATCTTGTAGATAATCGTCGAGTCTGCTGTTGAATCGATCTGTAAAAGAAGAAGACTGAATACATCCTATGTTCGCTTTCTATTCACAAAAAGATCCCATAATGTTCGCCGCAGTTTCGTGCAATGTAATTATATTTATCGTTGCAATGCGTTTGGAGAGTAACCTTTTCTACTTAAATCGGAAAACGACCATTTTGTTCAAAATAAAATACAGTTATTAATATCATTGTTTCAGTTCTCAATTCTTCATTAACTATAAAAAGTTTAACCCTTGACGTTCTATCATTATCAGTACTATACAAAAACTATTGTTATTCAGATTATGATAAAGTCCTCATTCCTCATAAATTTTAATTATCATAGTCTGAACACAATTTATGTTAAAACAGTTCGTATCCGAAGAAACCAGGCTCGTTTATCAAATCTCGGATAATAAAAAAATTCGATTAACAATTGAAATTCCATATTCGAGGGAAGAGTTTTCGAGCAGCATATGTGTAAACACATGCATCTAGATGTATTCAGAAATTTCGGGGCCGATATCTGGACACGAGGAGCTCGTTGAAAGCATTCGTTAACGCTAAAAGCACTGTCTGGCGCATAGATTGGGGAACGGTGACAATCGGCGTTTCAACTTATCGCACAATGACAGGTCGAAACAAAGCGTTCGGTGCTTCGGCGGCGATCTGTTTTACTCCCCAGGGCGCGAATTGTTTTTGTGATTTCCCAAGCGCCTCGTGATCACTTGAGTTTCTGGGCGCGGGGCCATCTTTCATTGCCGGAAAGTTACGCCGCGGAAAACATAGACGGCTGAAAATTTCCTCGCTGTCCCGCGGAAAACCGTATATTACCACCCCCAACCGTATCTTTTGTTAGTTTTATAATTTCTCCGTGGCATTTCGAGCGGGAAGAAAACGATACGATGTTCACTTTTTTGTCGATTAATCATACGGGAGTCATACTGGCCTGCTGGCGTTTGTCTTTCATTGATATATCGCCGAAGAAATATTCATTTCCGTTAAGGAATTATCTAAAATGTTACTAGAAAAATGGAATACTATCTTAATGAAATGGAGAAAATCCTTTTAAAACTGAGCATGATAAACTGCATAGGGCGAATACGTTTTTAAACTTAATTTACTTCTATTCCGATTAACTCTAGAATGTCACTGTTGCGTTCACTAAAATAAGATATGTATATTTTAAACATTATTGAAAATTTCTGAAAAATTATTTCTCGTTTTTTCTTTAGATATTTGGAGAAAAGGTAACTGTAGCATATTCTTTTCGTCTAACGCTAGAACCAACGAACTCATAAAAATGACAGATTTCAAATATCTTATTTTACAATTGAGGGGCTGATAACAGAAACGATTTTAGTAAATTTTTGTTGCTTTCTAAGAGAGTAAAAAAATACTCTGGCGTCTATAAGAAGTTTAAAAATGGACAAATTTTCTTTTCAGAATATATCAAGACATGGGTCATTTGTGGTAGTATAGGTACCACAGTTAATAGAATCAGTTGTTATCACAAAACCCGAAATATTTGACAGTTTTCGTTATGAGCCCCTCAATTACTAAAATCATAAACGTGCTTTTATCGGAATTTATGTTAACTTTCAATTTATTATACATCTTATGTTATATTGTATTTCATATTGTATGTATCAGTATATTATACAATATAATTTAGTAAACATTCAACGCTGGTAGTTCTGGTGTTAAAAAAAAAGATATCAGAATGCAAAAATTATTCTGAACCGTATGTTAAAGTGGTCTTCGCTTGATATTGTTTCCTTATTTTGTGGTGTCGCGACTCCATAGTGTCCTTCTAGGGTTAACATGGAATTAAAGACGATTTAATCCTGTTTCTATAAACGTCTATCTATTAATAACAAGAAACCACATGTCTTGCAACGTTGAAACATTGTACACAATGTATTTTCTGAAACTGTAGGGTAGATCAGGCCATAACGTATGCCCGCAGGGATTTGTGGTATCTTGGCCTTGATGACCACACCAGCAGATCGAGCGATTATTTACTCCTCTGGTGCCACCAAGACCCATATGCCGCCTCTTTGGCATCCGGCACCATCTTTGAGTTCAACTGTGGGTCATAGAGATCCAACGGACTGAGCTTTGACCCAAGCTGGGGTGTGCGTTGAACCATTTCGCACAAACGGATTATCTCGTTTCGCAATTAAGGCGGCCGAATTAAACATCTTGACGTTACCTAGCCTGTTTCACACGGAAATTAGGAGTTAATATCCTGCAGGTTCGTAGAGAACGTTAGCAGAATAATCGAATTGAAGCAACGGAACGATTATCGCTGATTGTCTGCATATTAGACCTCCTGAAGGTATATGTCAAATCGTGGCTTCTTGGAAACATGAATTCATAGTGAATAAAACAATCTGTAGTATAATGTGCCGAATAGGAGTAAGAAAATTTTTATTTTTGGAACCATGTCCATTAAATGTTTGAGCTTTGTTTTGATGAATGACTTGTCTGAACTTTATCATGTGACATAGTCCAAACTTTAGTGAATTAATGACCAATCTGCAATTTTTTACCATATTTAATATTCATTCCTAAGAAAAATATGGACCTATGCTACTTTAACAGTATCCTCCATAGTTCTCTAATACTCTACACCATTTTCATCGAAGAGAGGATAAGGAAACATTTTCAATTCACTTTGAGATCACATTATCAATTCTATAAAAATATAATGGAATAATAAATTACTCATTTCTCAGCTAATAATAAAATAATGTAATTTTCTACACCCTAGTTAGTGTCTACTGAACACAGTAGCATTAACGAGCTGTTATCTCACAAAACGCTATTAATCGCGAAACAAGCAATAATACCACGAGGATCAGCTGCCGAAATGTTTAACAAGCAACCTTTCCGATTACTTTAAACCAACGTTTCCGCACGATCGACAGTTTCAACCGCGTCACCGGTTTACCGATTCGCCATCAGCCACTCATTGTGCATTGTATTATACCAGATTACTCTAATTGCACCACAGGATATCGTATTTCTGTGCGTTGTTTTTTATTCCCTCGAATGGAATAGACGAAGGCAGCATATCACGAACTCGTTAAGAACCTGATGAGAAACAACCTGCAAGTATTCCCTCGAACGTATCTCAAGAAAATTTTCCAAACGCCTGACAAGTAAATTGCTCTCGTTTCCCGTGCACCTTATATACTACATATACGCATGTTTCCGTTCGCTGGTTCGACAAATACCTAAACGCGCAACCGCGTCTGCGAGACCAGGGAATGTAATATTTGTTTCAAGAATCTCAGATGTAACGTGGAACCAATTTGCAGAATTGAATTCTATCAAATAATCTTTAGAAGTTCTTCGACATTTTTACTTGAACAATACAACCAACCAATAAGCAATCCACTGTATTTGTTTAAACTTGTTATTTATTTCGCATGAAAATAGAAGACTTTGTTAGTTCAAGAATATTCGCCCTTCTTCTCCGACAATGTCCGCCACTTTTAAGACAGAAATTAGTAGGAAAATTCTTTGTATATATACGATGTGATCAATTTATTAACCCTTTCTAATGGAGCATCTTTGAATTATTACAAATCTTACACTTGTATTGGGTATACCAATAAGCAATCCACTGTGCTTTTAATTTCGAATCGATATATTTTAAA